ACACATCTGCATTTTCCACCTGTGGTGTTGAACCAGTGACTCAGCCTCTATTCAGTTGTTTTCTTGCATACAAAAAAGCCAAAATACTATAATCACACCCATGCACACGGGCTACAATGCCTCACCACACCCACACACAAAAGGTTTGAAGAACAGAGGTCTGCACTGTGATTCCATTCTTTGTGTGATGCCAGAAGCCCTGTAAACGTCACCCTGATCAGTGACATGGGAAAGAAGAGTTAAGTTAGGGGAGAACAGTGCATCTTGTATTATAAACATGGATGGGACACTTACCTTACTTGTTCAGCTGATCTGTGTAAGCATACCTCTGGCTGCAGTGCAAACAAGTCCAGGCTTTACTGTCCACTGACTTCTGCAGAACTACTCATCGTCAATGTAACCACACTGCAGAGAAGAGCCTCTACTGTGGGCTGGGGCAGTCTGACAGCTGCTAACGCACCTCTCATTTACCCAAAAACATGAACACACATCCACAGTCACAACATGCCATCCTCTGTTCAACCCTAAGGTGCATGGGAATTCCTGCCTCAGGTAGGTTGAAAAATAATGCAGGCTGGTCAGGTGCGCTAGTGGCATTTTACCCAGCAGTTTGAAAGTCAAACATTTCTCATAACAATGGACTAATACTGATGGAGTGTTTCAAACCACTTTAATATAGCTACTGTGTAGTCCGTTATGTGCACAGCACTGTATTAAAATCAGTCTTGACTTTTCTTTAAAAAGTCAGGGTCAAAGCTTTGATTTTCCAATTTTACTCCAATGATGCCCAGTATCATGTAATAAAATTACTCTGAGGTTTCTTGATTATGAACATCAAAGGTTTGATTCCTATTACTCCAATGATGCCAACAAAATATGCAAGTATTATTGAACATCCCTGTTCCAAAGCTCTAACAGTGTTAATTGTGTTGAGGTGCCACCATTAAAAATGCATTAAAAGGTCTTTACTCACCAGAGGTGAATTTTGCGAGACTCTCATGTCTAGTAATTTTCGAACCAATATTCAGTCAATGAACCCTTGCAGATCAACGACGGGATTTCGCTGAGCAACAATGCAGCATTTTTTCACCCTAAACTCGATTTTTATTTTTTCAACTTTTCACCAATGACAGGAACACGTGACCAATCACGATGCAGCTTGCTGTAACATTGTTACCTTAAGTGCATGGTGCACCAGCGAGCTAAAGCGATATGATTTATTTATTAAAGTGGTGTTCAGAATATATTTCACCCCAGGCATGCATCCAGGTGCTATTCCGGGTTGACTGCTTCTCTGCCTGTTCAAGTGCTGTGGCCGCAGCAACAAGCCTTCAAATTGTCCCATGGACATTCTCAAGTAGTATTCTGACTGTATGCTCTGTTTCCACTATCGGAACCTAACAAGCGGTATACACTGTACTTCACTTAACCATCACCAAGCATAGCCTCTGGGGTTGACACAGACCATCTCGCTTTGTTTTTCCACTGTATTTTCATTCTGTTGGTCTCTGTTTAGAGGACAGAGGGACTGCTCCTCGCTCACACACGCAGTCAGGTGTGTTTACACAAGGTGCTTGTAATGCTAATGGATTGAGGGGTGCTGAAATTTAGCTCCCAAAACACACCTCCAAAGCAGGTCGGGCGTAGTGAAAACAAGTGACAAGAGTTACTCAGCGAGACACATTTCGGTAAGTTCCTACAACGGATTAACCCTATGGTTTGAAACTACTGTTTCAACCCCTGCATCAAGCAGGGAAACTTCCCAGATTGCCTGTTTTCAATACAGGATTCATGTTTTTAGAAGTTCACATTCAATATTTGCACAGGGAATTTATCTATTCGAATTTATGTGGTGCATTTAAAACACCCCCGAAAAATTTGCTATTTTGTGTCATTTGCTTCACTCTTGGTGTGAAAAGACCTTTAGGCTAAAAACTTAAAATGTCAGTGTCAAGGATTTGCATTTTTATTTCATTAGCAGGCATTCCGGTTTCAAACCTCCAACTATAGAGCTACTGTGTAGTCCGTTACCTGTTTGATGCTGCCTGTAATAAATACTGACTCAGAAATTCTCTTTTAAAATTACAATATCAAAGCTTAGATTTCCATTTTTACCTCCAAGTACTTGAAATAGCTACTGTGGAACCTGTAGTGTGCTTGATGCTGGTTTATATAATTCTTGACTGAGAACTAAAACAGTGTTAAGATCAAAATGTGTTGGCAACACACATCTGTCTCAAACCTCTGTAATGCAGTGACCGTGTTGTCTGTAAAGAATGTTTGGTGCCACCTTTAAACAATTCTCAGCTGTGAGCTTCTTATAAAAAATGTCGAGTCAAAGCTTTGCTTACTAAAGCCCTTTTCAGACATGCACTACGTAACATTGCAGGCTTTGTCAAGCTCATTCAGACATGCCAACACCACTACAGAATGAACCATGGTGATATTTTTGGCATCAGAAACCTGAGACTAGACGGTACGGGAAGTTAAGCAAAACAAACGCTTCGTTTTTGGTCCCGTTAGCCGATTTATCTCATATTCTTAATGAGAGAAACTATCCCATCTTGAGGTGGGACCAATGTCCTGCTGGTTTTGCTAAATACTTGTTTTACTTACGCCTTTGCAGTCACACCTGCCACTTCTAAATATGTCCCAGATTAGGTTACTGCTTTTTAAGTGTGTTCCTAGTCATCACTGGTGGCACAGTGAGCATGCTTATCCATCAATGACTGCATTCTTTCAGACTTGTTCTGTACTGATAAATAAAATAACCAGGTCCGCCCGAGTAAGAATCCTGTTGTGACTTTTACAAAAGAGTGAAGGCGTAATAAATTGCCATTAGTTTAATAGAAAGAGGTGCATGTCTGAAAGGGACTTATTTTCACTGCAACAGTGCAAAGTTGAAGTGTGTTTGACAACAGGGGACATCCCTGTTCTAATATAGTCACTGTGTAGTCTTTTCAGTCTTGATTACTTGCAGTAAGAACAGGCAAATGCCAAAAATTCCAGCTTTCCAAGCTTCAGTCCAAGGTACAGAGCCACCAGCTATTATGATCAATAATAATTGTACGTCTTTTAAAAACAGGCACTATGTTGTTGTTGAGAGTGACAGCTTTTCATTACCAAACCACTCTCAGACACTACACACAGCTTCAGCTGAAAGAATAAAAAATGCTAAATCTGTGGTTACCACCGACTTTGAATTTCTTGGAAAGTTCCTTTTCATAGTCCAACACCTTTAAAGATGGTCAAACCTGTTAAAGAAAAACAAAGTGTACACAACACCAACACACAGACATAACATTACAAGTTTTAAAGTTTACATTTCGGCCCAATTGTGTTAACCAAATCCAACTGAGAATTTGTAGTCCTGTTTGGTTGGATGTTCAGATGCTGCGTAGACAAGGAAAACTGATGTTGTTTCTGACACTAACAAACACCTAAATTAAGCTGACACTATTTAGAAATACATTACCCTAATTTCAGATGTTTACCATTAACTCACTAATGACATATGTGCATTACATATGTAATTTAACAAACTATATGAATCTCTAATTCAATTTCTTTAAAAGAATATCCAATTATCTCATCAACTCCAAAATATTGGAGGTGTGTCACCATTTCCCTGTAATTTTTCCTTTGCTGTGGGATCACTACAATTATGTGAATGGGTATACTGTAATTAGACAGTCCATTTAAACATCCAGATGCTGTCATATAAGATACTGGACAGTCTCCTACTGTTTTCAATGGCTACTAAAATGTACGCAGTGCTCAGGTGTGAGAAATGTTTCTTAAAGGAAGTTCACATAGCTTTTTCAAAAGGTATTGATCATTAATTTTATGAAATCAAGTATTTTATCAACAAAATTAGTCATCTAGATATAAACATACATAACTAGAGGCCATATATATAACATCAAATCTGGAATAATCCTCAAGGTTGATCTGAAGCAAGGTAAATTAAAATCCCCACTAAGTTAATTTAGGGTGGGAATATAAAAAGTAACAAATACACTGGCACTACTCCATAAAAAGAGAAGTTGTGAGGAGATGCCAGAAGACATTTGGCAGAAACGCCCTCACGTTATATGAAAGAAATGACTGTCTGTCCACAAAAATTGATAAAAGATGCAAATACGTTTTAGCCGCAAGAGCAAATTGTAATTTACATTTACAATATCTGTTAAAAATCTTGGGACCTGTAATTACCAAATCATTTAAGCTCCATCTTTAAATGTCAAATATCTTCTTGTGCAATTCTTCTACAGGGATTTGTCATGCAAGACTAATGCCACATGGCAAAATATGCATTGCAAATAACTTCTGTCAGTACTACACCTGCTCCAAACCTCCGTGCACGCTTCCTTTGTAAAATTTTGCACAGTGCCAGCTGCACTGTACTGATTCAGGTAATTTGCACAAGTGCAGTGTTTTGATTATTTCGCTCAAATATTAATGACTCCACGCTAACAGAACCACGCATTTCCTCCACAGTCCTTAAGCTTTAAAGCTGGTCAAACCTGTCAAAGAAAAAAAAAATGTACAGAACACAAACACACGTAACATTTCAGATGTACACTCCATGATATCCAACAAAATTACCCAATTAAACTGTAGTCCTCTGACTCACAGCAATTTCAGATGCATTTTGCCAGATTCTCAAATGCTAAATGACAAAGCAGGTTTTACTTGAGATACTTTTTATGAGCAAGTAAAAATTCTTAAATACATTTCTGATGTCTGGGCAGTCTCTGCTATTTGACCAACTACCACAAGATGCATTGTAGTCAGTTACAGGTCTAAATGTTGTCAGCTATAGGATGGACACTGTATTTAAAAGAGGAGTACTATGGAAGTGACTCCAAAGTTGAGAAAAGCCACTTACTGCTCATCTTGAAATTACTTAAAGCCCTCCCTTGATAGTTTGATCCTCGTAATACGACTGCTTGATGAAAACCTACCCCTAGCATGTGGAATCACAATGTCATTATAGCTCAGTCAGTTTTAAAGAGGCATCTAATCTACCGACATCCAACTGAGTTAGCAGAGTTTCAGTGAGGATTTGATGTTAGGTGTAAGCCTGTAGCAACATTTGTGTCAGGGAAGAGCATCTGTCAGGGCTTGTCCTCCCAGTGTGTCCTGCACCGTTGGCATTAGTCGGTCCCTGTTGGCTGCTTTTTGGCCGATTTGACATGTTGAATCAGGATCAGGCAGTTGGGCCTCATTGGTAAGAGCGAGACCACTGGCTGTTGAGTGAATCAATGTACGAGGAGAGAATGGTTCAGGAAAGCCTCTTCAGCCTGTCGCTGAAGTATCCATGATTTCACCCATTTAGTGCAGTTTCTCCTTGTTTTTCACCTCCATAACCAAAAGGGCAGAAAAAGCAAGTGCCATTTGCAACTTCTTATCAGACATATTCTTGATTAGAACCAACTACAAACAGCAGCTGTTTTGAATGAGAGGTGCTTTGTTTATAGCTTATACTTCCATATTCTAGCTCTTTTTCTTTCCCTTACTGAATGGAGAATACAAATACCACCATCTGTTGGCAGAGAGTTATTCCTGTCACACAGGTGCATACTGTATGTGCTAGTCTGCCATTGGCTGTGGTCTGTGCGGTGTTCAAGTGTCAGTTTTTCAACCTGACTGGCCCTAACAGAACTGACATCAGGCGACGCAGAGGTCGGCCTTCATCACTGCTAGTTTTTTCATGGCGGGTCGGTGCCCCTCTGAACCTCACAATTGAGTTTTCCAAAAGCCCTACAAGTGTGAACAGTCTGGATCAGCAGATCCAGAATATTATTCGGATCATACTTTAGTGTGTGGTAGATATATGAATGTTACCTTGCAATTTTGGTCCAAGCATTCTAGGCACTGTGTATGGAGTTAGAAAGAAAAAAGGCATTCCAATGACAATGAAATTCCTGTATCCAAATGATGATCCAGATCAGCACCAAAATCTAATGGACTGTCCCGGTGGACTATATCCTACCATCCATTTATTACTTTGTGAATTATACTGTGAACAAATCAATGAAGAGACGCCGGTAAAAACAACCTCTTTGGCAGAGGTAATTATTATTCAAAGCTGATTTTTTTTTTAAATATATCATCACAAAACATGGCTGGAGGGTATCTCAAATATTATGTTCTATTTCATCATGCAGAACACATTAAGTAAAATGTTTTGTTCTCTCCTCTGGTCAAGGTCAGGATAAAAACAAAAACATTCAAGCACTACATCCTGGGAAGAAGTCCATATCAGGAGGTTGAGTTACCCGGACTCTGAAAGATGTTAAAGGATTCTCTTCTGAAACAGTTTGTGGGCTCTTGCTACTTGTTATATTTACATAGATAAACACACCATGCCTCCTGGAGTCAAGAAACATTTAAATGTAAACCAATTCAGTGTATATGTAAAAAACTGAACTAGAGAAAAATAAAATGACGGCAGCATGGTCCTCAACAGCACACATACTCAGGCTAGTCTATTACCAACAGTAACTACTGCACAAATGTTTTTCAGCCATGTCAGGCTTAGGCCACATAAGAATGTATCTATGCAACATAATATACATGAAGTCTAAACTCTGTTTTAAAGCTTTTGAAGATCATTTAACCAATAAAACTGGTAAGCGAGTGACAGGATATAGAAGATTCATAAGCCACAGAACGTGAAATGTCTTGTAACATCAAATGTGGAAAACGTGTAGCAGGGACAGAGTATAAATTAAAGTACAAACTATTTACATGCAGTTTACCATATTCATAATTGTGAAAGTCACAGCATAGAATTGACACCATAGAGTTCTTGTCTTCTCACAGGTCCAGCACAATGAATGCTTTGTCAGTGAGGTACTGCTTGTGTAAGTTTAGAATTATATTCATTCTCTAACAATGACACTGGAAATACCTGCTAATTCTTGTAAGTTTCACAAGCATCTGTAAGCCTGGAGCTAAAGCTATTCTAGAGCTGACTGCTGTGAGGAATTGATACTTTCTTGCTTTAAGAAAATAAGGACATTTCATTCATGGAACCAATGTAATATGTTATAGATTCTGGTGGTTATCACGCTTTTCAGAACTAACCGAACAAGGTATGACTGCTTAAGCCCTTGCCAGTTATACACAGGCACATTTACTCAGTCCAACAGTCTATCTATGGTATGCACATTAAACCCAGACAGCATTTCATGCCAGTTCCTCCTTCCTTATGTGTTCCGTTGACACACCAGCTCTGACCTCTGCTGGCTCCAAAATAAGTCCATATCTGAAAAGGGCTACGTTTACATGCAGGTTTGCAAAGAATAATCTGCCAAAGTCATTCGACAGTACCCGGGTTCCTCCAATAGAGATGAAAAACATGACAATTCCCAGAAGTGAAGCCACCACAAGTTGACTGCACCCTAGTGGCTGGTTGCAGAATAGGTCATAAACCCTAGCCGCCCCACATTATTGGACCGGGCATGAGCCAAAACAAAAATTCAATGGGCAAAGTTATTTAATGATGTACAAAAGGGTGCATTTCAGATGATGTGACAGCTTTGATTGGTGACCTGATACTGTGGCTCTGCCTTTTGTCGCTATTGCACAGAATCTGGTTGCAAAATGCATCACAAAAGCAAGATGGCCGCCTCTGAATTTACATTTGCACAGTGGCACAAAGTGGAATCTGGAAGTGGTGGTGGCAGGAAATGTTATATTTATATATACAGCCTTTGGTTCCAATTAATGTCTATGTAGCTGTTAACATGTTTATTTTATAGCCACCTAGAGGAAAATTGTTATGGTCACTGCATTTGCTTAACTACAACTGCCATTAGACTTAAAATAAATGGCTAGAACATACAAAATAACACTAATGCACAGAGGGCGACTTATACACTGATCCTATTGCCAAAAGTGAGCCTCAAAGCTTGATTGTGAGCAGCAAAACAAAATTAAGGAAAATACAAACATAACTGGGTCAAAAGCCTTAGAAAAGTAGCTAGGCAGCAGCTGGGTGGTTGTTTCTATAAATGGCTGAGCGCTCGTCACAATTTAAAAAACAATCACGTTCCTTATAAGGTGGTGACAATAAATGGAAGTGAAGTTTGTAAACTACTGGTTTACTACTGTGATCCTTCAGTATATTGGCCTACATGCAAATGTAGTCACTAACCTCAGCCTCAGAACATGCACACAAAACACACACCACTGTAGACTGCGTTAAACTGACGGACCTCTGTATGTGATAAGAGCAGAATGTGTTCATAAGGAGACCAGTGTCCACTAGTAACCCACAACCACACACTATACCACAGACTCTCCTAAAGGTTCTATGTGTAGTATTCCTGCAGTCCTGAAGCATGTCTGCAAAAGCAGAGTTACTGAATGAAACAGGCTACGGTACTTGAAACATTTTGCTGTCTAAAAAAACGAGAGCTTCATTTTGTCCAAGCTGTGTTTGAAATTAAACTGCAAAGTTTTGCATTAAAAATACATAATAAATTAAGCCTCTAGTATAATACCATCGCGTTTGGCGTTGTAAGGTACAACTGGAATTTTGTGCTTTTTAATCATCAGTTATAAAATTCTGACACAGACCATTTATTGAGAATACTAATTGTAATGGGTGCCAGCTACTTGGTGGGGCAGGGAGGGCAACACTTTGTGCTTATTAGATTGTGTTATATGCATCACTGAATCAGAACGGTCAGGATTGTGGCAGAGATAACACATAGACTCTTTAAGACCTAATGTAAGATGTATCCACATTATATAATTCATGCAAACAACCAACTGTTCAGATCTGGTCGCTGTTTGAATGCACTGTATGTTTCAACTTTTAGAGGAATAAATGTTAAAGGTTTGTCCTGATAGAACCAAATTGTCTTTATTGTAATACATGCTTTAACTCCAAATGTATGGCACAAAACACAGCCATAGAAAGTTGAGAAAGTGTTACAATTACCACTTCACGACGACTCACAAAGCATAATACAGCTAGAAAAAACAAAATCGTACATGGGTCAGAAAGAACTAACGGATCACACAAGGGTGACCTATGTTTCAATACTACAAAATAAAAAATGAAAAGGTTTATCATAAAATGAGAAAATTGTCAGGCTAAAATGAAGCAACAATTTAACTTAAATACAAGAATTGCGACAGCATTGTTGTGGAGAATCTATACAAATGGTGCTGCTGGGAGCAACAAAAAGCAATGTTTAAAAACGGGGTTTCTTAGAAGGGCCATCAAACTCCTCACGGACCCTGCCGTACCCAGCATTACCTGGACCCATTCCCCTAGGACCACCTTGGGAAAAGCGCTCACTGCGCTGTGGGGGTCAATATGCCAGGGACGCAGATAGGTAGGTGGGGAATAAGGTATGGGATGGGGTCAGGGCACAAGCACACAGTTCATGTCCATATGGAGGTGTAAAAAAATGTATGGAAATAGAGGTGGTTCGTTTTACATTGTGTGCAGATTTACAACACAATCAGCAGGAGACACATCCGAAGAAACCGTTCGTTCCAATATGAAGGTCCGCAGGTGCCACAGGTTACATACAGAAAAGGAAGAGAGGGTAATGCTTTCGTTAGTCAGTGCCTACCTAGTATGGTCTCTCCAGTGCATGCCAAGACTATAACCCCTACTGCTTTTCAGGTCTAGTATTTCATAAATGCGACAATCATTAAAGATGGCAACAGTTACATGGCCAAACGTCTTGGTGGAGGTATTTCTAAGTATGTTTCCTTATAAATGAGGAAATGTGAAAAGTGCCAGTGTAGAGGATTGTGACTGAACTGACTTCCAAAGTTTTGGGACATAAATTACAATGACATAAATGCTGTGCAGCTATCACAGATCCTCTTATGGCAGTGTCTTGATTAGGGATGTAACGATATTTGTAATTTCATGATAGAAACATTTCTTGTTACCGGTCAAGGGACTGTGATGGTATCTAGCAGGATAACTGCTAGTATAACAGCTCGTATTGAGATAGTCCTGGATACATCTCACTGAAAGAGCATTGCTGTATGATACACTTTAATGAAGATGAGCAAACAAACCGGACAAACACAGGCAAAATAAACCCATCAGTAACCACTCTTTAGTATTTTCCTCTTGAAAAAGTAGACCATAGTGTTTGAAAAACACAAATCATGTGGCTTGTCTGAGTGACTTCGATGTCATCTTTTCCTCATTCTAGAAAGAAAGTCACTTTCGGCTTTTCCCGTTTAGGGGTCGCCACAGCAAATTGTCACACTGACGACTCACATGTTGACACCTAGCACGCGTTTTACGCCGGATGCCCTTCCTGACGCAACCCTGAGTTGAACCCGAGCTGCAGTGGCGAGAACGCTGCGCCTTAACCACTAGCCTACCAGGGACGGCTCATCTTTTCCTCATTCTAATGCGCCAATAAACAATTTGCTCACTACTGCCCCGAGTGGTCAGGGGGATACCGGTTAGCATGGCCACCAAACAGAGTGAGCTAAACTTGCCTAGGGGTACTAAAACACTGATGATCAACTGAGAATATAACTCGTTTTTTTTACAAGATCCAGCTGCTGCAGGAATATGTATTATCTTATTTTATAAACATAGTGCTACTGGCTGATGGATTAACTTTTACATTATGCAAAAAAAGACTGTTTTAGTAAAGGCCATTCTTTTCATGACAAATACTGTATTGTGGACTTTTTATTGTGCCAATATCATGCTGTGAGCTTTTGGTATCGTTACATCCCTAGTCTTGATACTAGGTAAATACTCATTCTAATTGTTTCAAGTGTGACCAGCACCTGAAGTACAGGGATTGTTCTAGAAATGCATGTGTAGCATACTGGCACTTGGGCACGGTAAGATGTAAACATTGCACAACACATTGAGCTCGACCATGTTTCCAACAAGAAAGCAATCTGTTCAACAATATGCACTTTACATGCCGATTCAGACAAGTTCACTGAAGCTAGAAAAAAAAAGAGTGAGACAGAGTGTATACCTGAAAAAGCCAAAAAATACAAAAGAGGAGGCTTTGCGTTACAACATGAGGCTAAAGTGAAACAAAACTATGTACAGAAGACAGAATCAGTATAATATAAATGTATCTTGAACTGGATCTGCTCAGCCGGCTTAACTATCAACGGTTTACCGAGTTTAAGATTCAGGTGTAGTGTTGGGCATCAAATTTTGATACTTTTATGGCATCGATCAAATTACTTCTATGCCATTGCGTATCAAAAAATGCCAAGTATCAAAAATGCTTTTCTACATTTTTATTTATTAGTGTTAATGTTAACAGAACTTAAGGCTGTGGTAAATAGGCTTACTTTTTATGTTATGAAACAGCTTTGAATGCACAAAAATGCCAAGGAACCGAAAAATACAACTAACGATCCATACCAAAATGTGTAATTTTGTTGTTAAAATTAATTTTATAAAATTGGTTTTGACAAAAGTATTGCTTACGAACTGGTATCGAAATCAAGGTATGGGTACTGAAAACACTGGAATGAGACCCAGGCCTATTCAGGCTCGACTATAAAACTACAGTGTATGAAACCACATTTCATGGATTGTAAAACTACTGCAGTGACAACATCGCTAACAGGCCTGATTCTGTTCAAGCCCTTTCTAAAACCACTTGGTACTAAATGGTACTTTAAACTCACTGCAAAACTAAGAGAATTAGGTCGAGCTGCTATTAGCAGAAGCTACAAATATGTAACACACCGTTTCTCAAATATAAAACCTAGTTCAATAAGCTGCTGTATATACAGCAAATAGAAGCTTTTTAAATAAAGGAACAAAGCTTGTTCTTTAGGAAATGCTTTTTTTCCCCAAGACTTACAATGTGGACACACGTTTAACTGTTTTTAGTGTCAATTGCAATCCAAAAACAAACCTAACAGTAGTACTACAGCTCTGCTTGAAGCCACAGACCTCAGGCTTGGTCCACTATTCACCAGTATAATATCACCTTAATCACAAAGTCACAAGGCTGCATCTGCCCCCACCAGTTAATCCTCATGTGATGTCAAATGGTGAGTACTTTGTTCAAGATTTGCTGCTTCATACGTCAACCTGCACTAAAAAGCTTTGAAAGCGAGGCCGATGACAAGGTAGACTGCTGCTCCAGAAGATGAACTACACCCCTAACTGTGGCGTCAAATTGGATTGTAGCACAAAAGGAGCTTTACACAGGACTTCACACTGCCACCCAAAAATGCACATAGCCTGTTCATACGCAACTTCATATCATGACAGATGATGCCTGAAACTGCTCAGACAATTAAAAAAAAAAGTGATTTAAAATGGTATAACCACATAGTCCACATTAAAGAGGAAAAATACTGGCAAGATGCCATGATGCCTCCGGTCAAGAGAAAGTGCCTGTCCAGCCCACATTAGACAGGGCTTGCAATAGCAGTCCACCACACAAACAGTGTGAAAAGAAAGAGAAGAGCCACTGAAGTCTGTCTATAGCTGTCAGAAAGCACAAAAGAGAAATTTCTTTTTGTTTAGTGCAGGCTGATGGCTTCACAGCTGGAACACAGTAAAGATAACTGAGGGGGCTTTGCTTGCCATTGAATGAAACCCTATTAGGTAGGCAGTGTATATGTCACATTCATCATCCAGCAAGCCGTCTGAAAACTGGCTGTGACACAAATCAATCATATTAACCCAATTCTGTTTGGCCAGCTGGCCTTCATATTTAAAATCAGCTGGGAGTCTTTCCAACAGAAAGGAAAGCCGAACACAAACTAAATTAACTACTGATCTTCCCAAAAGTGGGATACATTACCATTTCATTGCCCATCAGGCCTCCTGAGGATGAGCCCATTCCCTGTTGTCCCTCAAAGCCCATTCCACTCATGGGGAACTTCTGGCCGGATGCACCAAAGGACATATCTAACAGAAACATGAAAACAAGTCAAGGATACATATTGTGGCCAGCTGATGGCAAAGCTTATTTTGTATAGTCAGACAAAACCTCATTTTAAAGTGAATCTCACAGCCTTGTAAGAGAGAGACTACCTGCTGCCAGCCTGCTAGGTTCAAGTAGCTAAAACTAATCAGCAACACTGCAATAAGTTCAACTTTCATAATGTTTGGTTTCACTGAAACAGAGGTGCTAAGTCTACTTAATGGTCACGCTGACGGTTGTTAAACTGTATTGTCTTTAGTCAATGGTCATTGAGAGACAGGATATACATAAGATGGGGCTTGGTGGCAGTGCAGTTTTTTTCCCTATCTTGTATTTTTCTCTCTTAAATTTTCAAGGAAATAAGAGGAAAATAGATAACTTACCACCCATTCCCAAAGTTACACTGGGATTCATTCTCATTTCTCTGTCCCTCTGCAGTAAAAACACAAAGACAGTAAACATTAAACCAGACAACTACAGATTAATTACATGTGTATGTTGTATTCTAATGCTAGGCTTAACTCACATCCATGAAGTTGCCCATCCTGTAATTCTCCTCACGCTGACGGCGCATCTGTTCTTCCATCTCCCTCTTACGAAGCATCTCCTCCTCCCGCCTGCGTCGCTCTTCCTCTTGTCTGTTTAAAAAGAGAAAATATTTAAATCACATGATCCAGCTTTAGCTCTAATATTATAAGATGTGAAATAATTTTGGACTCTTATAGCAGAACAAAGCAATGACCAAACACAAAGATATACAGAACAGTGTAACTGAGCTGTCATCTGCCCTGAGAGTGAAGGATGGGGTTTTGGATCCATGAGAGGCTGCCAAGATGATTAACACTCTCAATGAACAACCAAAAAGATGTACACAAATACCTGAGCTGCATCTCCTTCCTTTTTTGCATCTCCTGACTGTGCAACTCTTCCATGCGCCGCAGCTCCTCCTGTCGCCTCAGCAGGTCTGCAGGGACACATAAACCCAACCAATTTAACTGCAGTACCTGAAAACTGATTGGCCAATCAGCTCGCAGGAAGGCCCGAGTTTCAGGGCAGTAGGATAGCCCCACCCTTGCAGTGCTCAGCTGGATTGCCAGTCCGACCGAGGGAAGGTAAAGCTCTGGTCCCGAGTCTCCAGGCGGACCTGCAATGCCTTGCCTGCAGTTCCAGGTCCAGACTGTGAACCTGTGTGTGATGGGGTCATGGCTCGGATCAGGAACCCTCATGGAAGGACAAACCTCTGCACGGTATGTACCACCATCAAATAGTAGAAGTGGCTGATATCGAAAAATCCTACCAGTGGCTGGACAAAGCTGGACTGAAAGACAGCACAGAGGCACTAATCCTGGCAGCACAAGAACAAGCAC